TTGTGCTATCGCGAATGAAGCATAAAAATGTACATCATACGTATTATACATTCTGTATTCGTGACCTTCTAAATACCCGAACACACCAAACTCATGCCTAGAAAAAAATAACAAGTTTAACAAGACACCTTTGATAATACAATTAGTATGGGTATAAAGCTCAAGTTTACTGGTGTTTTGTAATTAGGTTAGTATAGGCATAAAACTCAATTTGAACTGGTGTCTATTAATTACCATAATTGATGAGTAATGAGTATATTACCTAGGATCGTTCTCTGTGTATTCATCATGGACGTCAAACCATATCGTGCCGCCGTCGGCGACATAATAAAGCTCATTCATTAAGGCACTTTTTAACCAGTCTGGTATATTACTGTAAATAAATAACAATTAATTACATTAATTCTATTAATTTATAGCAAAAACTATGTGACGAGACTAGAGTTGAATTTAGATTGAAAGGCAGGGTAATGTAGAAGAAAAGGTGGAAACCTCGATTGTGTAAGGATTTATATGATTGCAGAATGGATTTAGATTTTTGAATTTCGAATGACTTCTCTCTGGGAGGGAGTGTCAGACTTTACGGACTAAAAAACACCCCGTTCCTACTCCTGCACTTCGGCCCGGAGTTCCGGTAACCTTTTGCGTTCTCCGCGGCTCCGTATCGGCATCAGCCATTTTGGGCCCCATTCGTGGTGGTCTGATGGCTCTTTGAGGCGCACGCGCATGGGATAAGATGATGTCTCATAGAGGAGAATAAAAAAAGACATATTGTGCCCATCCAAAGTACTTTAACGTGGGATAATGGTAGAAAGATGATCATATTAAAATAGTAATATAATATTTACCTATTATTCAAAATAGGATCCTGCCACTCTGCGAGTAGTTTCTCCCAATTTCTATAATTCCTAAGTGCATACGCAGCTATGCTTGCACCGGCTATACCGTCGCTACCGAAATACTTCGTATAAAACCTGTTACCAAACAAAAACACTAATTAAATATTTGTATAAATTACCATTTAACTTAAGATTTTTATGTTTTGTAGTACATACCTCCTATTAACTTTCTTATCCTTCTTATATTTTATAACTGGCATGTCCCAGACGAGACAGAATTCAGTCGACCCAGTGGCTCTCGGTTCTAACGATATCACACTTGAAAGTGCTACTGAATCACCTGTAATTAACGAAGAAAATAAATATTATAGACATCATAATATCTGATATATAATGAAATATCGAAAATAATTACATATAACAATTACATTTGTATATTTTTTTCTGTTTTTCTTTTTTCTCCGCCTCTCTTTCTTCTTTAGTCTTCTCTCTGTCTGGGACTTTGGGTGGTGGTGGCGTAAGGCTCGGATCAGGTAACAGAGTACCATTCTTCTTCAGGCACTCCCATACATATTCAGAAGTCTTTGCTGCATTCCACAAACAGTAACCTTCGTGGATAGTCTCATTTTCGGCTTTCTTCTTAGCAATAGTGAATGTACAGGGCGTGTCAGCGATTTTTTGTTCCAAGGTCACACCACACGTGAATTCCTCAGAATACCTCTCCAAATCGAGTTTGGCTGGAAGAAAAATTGAAGATTAAAATGTAAACCATGTCAATCAAGTCTTGATTAATTCGTGCAACTGAGGGTAGACACATTGGCCATGACGGTTATAATTTAGAAATTAGAAAAACTGACTCAAGTAAGACCAAGCGATTGCTTCATATTACCCTGAAATAAAAAAAGACCGTGAAGGTTGAATAAACCCGATTGTCATTATACTATTTCGGCCTAAATGTTATGATTATGATTATAAGCTAAATAAACAGAATACCAACCAAGAGCCTTCTTTTTATGGGAACCCCCAAGTACTTCAGTCCATGTGAAACTAATACTGACATCTCGTTTCTCTTTGGTAACATTTATAGCGGTGAATACAAATACTGCGCACGGTAGACTACTGTCCTGTAAATAAACATTTATTTTTAGCAAAAAAAGCAATAGTCATGTTTCCAAAAGAAAGAAAATAAAATGGCCAAAATGTGTAGGCTGGAAAACGAAAACGTAAACGTGACTCAGATAACACATGATTGTTTGAGCCGCAACATGAATGATAAAATATAAACAATTACTTTCAATTCAACAGTTTCAACAAATATTTCCTCCTTATCTTTAAGGACGAAAAGGAAAACTGTATCGAGGAAAAGTAGTGACGTTACTCATTAACTCGTCGAGTACCGGTTTTGTAGACACAATTATAGAACAATAGGTTGCGGTCACCGGTGACCGCTTGGTGTTTGACAGTTTAAATAAATAACAAGGAATTCCTTGACATCAGCCTAGAAATGTTGCCAGGTCAAAATCACTTAAGAAGTAATGATTTACCTTATAGTTATGTGGTATAACGGGCGAGATCTGTCGGCATACAAGTTTTATTCCATACTTGGTGAGGTCATAAGTGGTCCATGCACGCGGGTAAAGCGCTGTGTACTCACAGTCAGCGCCATTCAAGTTCCACTCCCAACTATGTGGAGCCTTCTTTGGTTTGCTAAAAGGAGAAATCCCATTTTAGAGTACCCCAAAATACCGCTTAAGGTCCGGTAAATAACATAAGACCTTATCGCCGCACTTTGCAGGTGAATTTTATCAATTTATCGTCATTAGTCCAGGTGGACGATAGTCGACTAGCCAGCGGAATTAAAAAGATAATCACTAAGTTAAAATTATAATTATAAACAATGTTTAAAGATACCATTAACGATAAAGTGTCTTGTCCTTTGCACTTTCTTGTTTGTTAATTAATATTTTATTTAGGCTTTCTATCAAATAATATTTAGCATTTAATATTTCATAACTAATTTCACGCATTTCGTTTCTCGAATTAGTTTTCATATTAGGTACAAAATCCTTACTTTCTTTGACATTTTTTAGTCCCGATCCTCCCTTCAATATGAGGCGAACCTATTGCGGAACGCTACCATGATATCGACAATCTCATTAATAGGTACCTCGCTCGGCCTCCATTAGTCGAACGAGGCAGATGTATCTATCAATCAGATTGTTGTTTTTTTTGTCAACTCTTAATGACCGTTATACACGAACAGAGCTTTGCAGGAGGCAAAACTGTAAAGAGTTGTATTAGTTTGTGCAATGCATGGTCTGTGTGATGGCGACTGAATAGAATAAAGTCAGGACAAGTACATCCCGCTGGTATCATAAAAGCTGACTTGAAGACTAAATTGACAGAGGTAGCAGCACTTTTTGTTAATCGTGTACTTTTTAAACTGAGAGGTTCAACACGCCTGCCAGTCGTGGAGATTCTGGTTAACATAATTGGAATATAAAAGGCTCAAAGTCCAGTCCATTGAACTGCCACGAGCTTTTGATAGTAATGTAATGACCTTCCTGATGGAGGGTCGATTCTCGAGTCGGTTCGAGGGATTGTTCTTAATAGAACAATTATTAGAATATCAGGGTGCTTACTCTTGAAACCAATCTCAATGTCAATGCAATTTCAATCCAATAAAATCTCAATAATTGTTCAATGTCAAAACTATACAACCCTTATAGTAGCTGTTAAAATAGCGTTAAGAATACGGAATATAAAGCCAAACTCAATACCATTTAGTTCATTCAATATCCACGCAATACGGATGCAAATTTCACAATACCAATGTCGATCGATCGGAATTGGATTCAAGAGTAAGCCCCCAGTACACTTAGAAGTTTTTAACTCGTTAATATTTGTACTTAATATGTACTAGCTCACAAGGAAAACTTGCGCCGAGCCTTTATGAATCGATTATTATCTTATTCATGCTTACCAATCATTATTACGGTCAGATAATTGTCGTTAACTATGATAGCCGCGATAACGGAATAGGTATGTAGGGAAGCTTTCATAATGTTGCTTTTTATTTAGAAAGTTCTTTATCATTATTAGATTACATTCGATAATATTGTAGTGAAAACTATTTAAAATATTATAGGGATTCCCATTACAGTTTTTATTTATAGTGAGTGTTATCACTATATTGAACGCGTTTTTATACAATTGTACAAAGCTGTAGACGCAAACATCTCTGTGAATTTAAAATGACGAATTTCGTCATCATCAAAATCATAATAGAATTACGTGTACTTATTGATTTACTGATTTACCTTGTATGCAATACAGGCAACACACAAATCTGTTAATTTCACAGCACCTATCTAGCTGTAGCTACCTGATAACTTATCATATAACAAATGGCATGTGCCATGTGCCTTCGTAATTACCCTGCTAAATCCGTCTCGATTAGAATTTATTCTTTGATATGATTAAAGAATCATGAACTTGATACCATGTAGGTATTCATGAGCAATTCATTCACCAAATAATAACTTAATTATATTTACCTACAGACACACAATTGCAATAAAAGTTGTGATGTTTTAGTACTGGTATACTCATGAAAACATGCAAATTATATTATTAGTATGGGGGTATGAGTCACTTACTTATTTGTAGACAAAACGGACTGGAAAATAGTCTCATTGTTGCCATTGCGTATGTTCACAATGAACTGGCATTCTGGCACTGAGACATACTCGTATATGCCAGGGTACAGCTGGAAGCGACAGAACTCTCCTTTGAACCCCCGGCCAATAGTCCCACCACCAATACCGCCAATAGGACAGCCTAGGACAATACATTAATATTTTATTTACATACATAATTGATATTACAGTATTAGAAATATTTTCCAAATGAGATTGAATGTTAGTTTGTTATACCCAGTCCCTTTACAATTCGTAATATTAAACATAAGTGTTTACAGGTGCGAACACATTTTAGTCTCAATTATCTAAGGCTTCTTCTTCAAATGATAACAGTAATGCTTTGGCGCCTACTAACTAGATGAATAGTTAACTAGAGAAGGAATCGGATAAACGGGGAGTTGTGAAATTTAAAACTCCTCCTGAAGACTCTTTAGTGGTTGTTGCCGGGTGCACCAGGATTATGTTGGAGGATCGGATCTTGGAAATGGTGGGATCCATTTCGGAGCCTGGGCCGGGCGGCGTGGACTTTGGGGGCTGGGATGCCCCGACATTTCACTGGACAAATGGAGTGCCGGGATGCGGCAAAACTACATGGATAATAAATGAATTCGAAGCGGAAAGGGATTTAATCGTCACCACAACAACTGAAGCAGCAAATGACCTCAGAGGCAAACTATCCTGCCGAATCGGAGGATTAGTCAAATCCAAAGTCCGAACAATGGCATCCATTTTAGTGAACGGATTAAAAGAGCAAGAGAGCTGCCACCGAATCATGGTTGATGAGGCTCTCATGAATCACTTTGGGGCCATTGTGATGGCGGCCCGAATAACTCGGGCCAAGGAAGTTCTGCTGATTGGTGACATAAATCAACTTCCCTTCATTGACCGAGACAACCTCTTCCCCCTCATTTACAACCGCCCTACGCACGTCGCGGCTATTAGCCAAGAACTTCTCTGCACTCACAGAAACCCTATGGATGTGGCATATGCTCTCAGTACTGTGTACAGTGGCATATATTCGTCCGCGTCGGGTGTGAGATCCCTTGAGTTAAAAAGCTTCTCAGGGTCGCGAATACCCAAATCTCCTCCGAACACGTTATACCTGGTACACACTCAGGTAGAAAAGGAATCCCTTAAAAACCAGGGATACGGATCGGGTGTGGGATCACGCGTACTCACAATACACGAGGCTCAGGGGCTTTCGTACGCGGCAGTGGTTGTTGTGAATACAGCGGAGAAGAAACAGCGGATACACGACAGTGTATCGCACGCCGTGGTAGCTATATCCCGTCACACAAACAGCTGTGTTTACTACACGAATATCAGTGACGACGCGATCAGCAAATTAATCAGACGAGCGGTGGGTGAGAGTGAGCGGGGGATCCTGGACTATAACTTGAAAATGGCTATCAGCAACAGGGACATGGCGGTAGTGGGCGCTCTTTTGGGTGGGGAGGGCTCGCTGTAAGCTTAAATTGTGATGCAAGCGTGACATTAATATACCT